GAAATGGAACCACTTTGGCCACTAGTTTTTTATTGAACGGTTTGACCATTTAGTCTGAACGATCAGTTTGTAATGTTTTTTAATTTAAAAAAAAAAAACAAAAATGGTTTTCCAAGTGCAACAATTTAACAAATTAACTATTTGGATCAGTGGTCCATTGACTGATTCATTTTTTTTTTTGTTTAATTTTGGAAATATGGACTAGATAAAAATGGAACCGGATAAGTGGCTGGTTCTCAGGTTAAATAATTCGACCACTCAGGTTAACTGTGTTTTAACCATGGTTATTACATACATGTTTCATGGTTCAGTGCATCTCTGTGGGTAGTTCCTCCTTGTCTCTTTGTAGTGCTTGTGTTTCTTCCGCGTTGATGTACTTTTGTGCATGGCTCATCAGCGCAGCTATGGTCGGAGGAGGGTTATTCAAGATAGAAAAGTTGAATGGGGAAGGGTGCAAACCATGCTGAACGGCTTGCTGTAAACTGTGCCAAAAACTGGCTCTCCAACTGCTCCCAAGAGGAGATGGAGTGTGAGGGAAGGGAGGAATACTAGGTTAGGGCTACTCTTTTGAGGGTCGCCACGAAAGCTTTACACATTAAACCTTCGGACGAGTCGTGCAATATCATTTGGGCTTTAAAGGCTGCAACATGGCTACCGGGGTCCGCGGTCCCATCGTAACTCTCGAATTGTGGTGCTCGCCAGCCGACCAGGGGGAGCTTGTCCATAATTTCTTCGGCAAAGGGCACCTCCTTGGCGGCCTAACTATTCGGCTCCATTGGGCGGATCATGGGAAGGGTTTTACTTCTCTGAGCTTGGCTGCACTCCAACTCGATCAGGCGTTGTCAAAGTTCCCGGATTTCTACATCCTTGTTGTCCGGAACTGCGGCAGGCGTAGCTTTTTCCCTTTTAGGCATCGTCAGGTGATCTTTGACCGAATTGGACTCGACAACGGAGATTGGCTACTGCATCCACTTGTCGAGCCTTTCTTTTGCTGGAACCCATGCAGATTGACAAGTTTTGCTACGATTATCACGTTCGCGGGATCGGCCGAGGAGTCCGATCTTCTTGAAACTTCTTGCTTTTCTCACTCAGGCCGCACCCTGTCCTTATTTGACCGGTGCGTTTTGGGGTCCTCAGGGCGAGGATCAGCCATAGTACGCGTCGGGGCAAGAGGGGGGACGGTCTGAGTGGGCAGCACCATAGACCCCAACGATTGCATCATCGCTAAGATCTTGTCGACCTTTTCTTGCATTGCTTGGAACTGAACATGGTCGACTGCGGCTTGCTGCTGAGGTTGTTGGGTTTTGCGGTGTGGAGGGCTACGATGAGAATGGGATCCCTGAGATGGGGATCGGCCTGCCAATCTTTCAGAGGTGTTTCTTGGCATCTTTCTTGATTGTGTGGTAAAGAGAGGGTTTTGGGAAGGCTTTTTATGTGTTTCCCACAAACGACGCTAATCTGATGCTACTCGATCCGAGGTAGTGCTTGAACCGAGGTCACAATCAGATAATCCTTGCCAATTGGGTGGAAGGACAAAGCTGTGCAATGAGATCTGAAACCAAGAAAAGATCAAAGGCCTGAGGAGTTATCCCTGAGTAGATACTCCGACGCTCAAGTCAATAGAAAGTAGTGGGCGGTCGGGCTGAGTAGTTAGAGAATGATGCTGGTCCGAGCAAGGTACAGTATGGGAATCAAAATTTGGATCATTTACCTTGAGTGGGAGGTACCTTTTTATAACCGATGATCTATTTCTTGATCGGATGAAGCTTTTAGGGTTGTCGGGATGAGATTAACCGCTGACGTCTTCAGGATAAGACTTAATCCCCAGCGAAGTTGTCCCCATCTATGTGATGATCTCCTATCTTGGTTGCACTTATCCACATGGCGTGATGCTAACGTGGCTGAAGAGATAAGATAGGGCCATGAAGGTGACGTGGTACTGACATGGCCGAAGAGATAAAGTGGCCATATAAGCAACACATGGCGTCCAAAACCAAATCAACCATAACTCGAACAATTACATACATGATTCAAGCTTCACTGCATCTCTTGTCTAGTATAAATGGTCTTGTATTGCTAAACTGACACTGGCCGAGTGGGGGGAACAGTTGACACACCAAAGTTGTTAATATTCTCCAATATCTAGTCTAGAGTACTGAAAATGTCTTTGATGCCGGATGCCTTTGCAATGAGAGAGGCAAGTCTTAGCTGTCCTTTCTCATCTCATTCAGACGATGAGTGAGTAGTTGCTGTAGAGGGAACATCTCGATATTATGGGATTTTAATTCGGGTAGAGACAGCTGACCTAACATTTTTTTCTTTTTACTTTATTCTTTATTTTTATCCTTCTAATAAATACTAGTCTAAGTCTATATATAAATGAATTGAAAACAATATTTTAATGATAAATCTTTGAATTCACTCCATACCACACTTTGTCTCATTAAATAAAGTAGGATCAAAGTTAAAGGGAACCCTTCCATTTGACTTTCAGATCTATCAAGGAACTTAATTCTTAGTATTTGGTGATAATCACAACTAATAAGCCCCCTTTCGACAGTCGGTGGTTGCAGGAATTAAATCGGCTTACCAGCTAACGAGCCGAGCCATCTCTCAGTTGGCTCAATTATCAAAAATAAATAAATAAATAAATAAAAGTATTAAAAAATTCATTGTAGCTCCAGACTTATAAATATTCAAAATGTCAAATACCCCAACTGTACTTTGTGATTATAATTTCTGAACCGTCCTCCCAAAACAAAAAAGACTAAGAAATGCCTACAATAACCAAAACTACTAAAAGCAACTATTGTACTTAAAGGTAAGTGAAACTAGACCACCTGCAATACAGTGGACCCTAGGGGAGATGACTTGGGTAAAAGGCTAGTCTAATGCAACCATATGAATTGTAAGTTTTAGGTTGCATTTGAAGTGCTTTGTGGCTTAAAAGCCATTTTTTGAATTGGGGTTTTTTAAAAATGCAATTTTTTAATGTTTGATTGGTAATTAGCCTTTTTTTTTTTGTTTGAAATAATTTGATCCAAACTTCAAATCAGTTTTGTTGCCCACTACTCTCTACCCACACTCTGCCCACCTTTGAATTGCAGTCTTGTATTATAAGATGTGCAGTCGCAGTGTACTGTGGATAGAGAAAGAAAGTGAGTAGGAAATCTGAGTTCTCCAAACTTGAAAATCTAAATGAAATTTATTTTTTATTGGGCCTTTTTTTTGGATTTAAAAAGAAAAAATAAACGTTTTGGACGAGATTTTTCACCAAACAAATTTTGACTGACTTTTGGCTCATCTAATGTAAAAAACACAAAAAGCCCATTAAAGCCAGATCCATGAAATGAACGTCTAGATATTTTGATGTACGGGTTCCAGAAATATATGCTTTTATAATCTTGATCTGATTTCAACTTTAAAGGCTAAAGCTATTGAGCTTATTGAATTATAAATAAATATTGAAAACAAATAATGAATATGAGGGGCCGGAAATAAAAAAACAGATAAAGACATCAAGTTGCTTCCTGTTTGTACCATATGGTATTATTAGGCAGACAAGGCAGCATTGGATTCCAAAATCCTGGTAGACAAGAAGCTCTGGTGGAAGGTCAGAAAGCACTTGTTTATTGAGACTCACACTTGCCTCCAATAATTCAATACGCCTATCACATCTCTCTTCTCATCTCAATCCTGCCCAGGTTGTATTACACAGAGGCACCCAACCTATTCCCTAATTTACATATACATATCCCATCAATATTCTAAATATCGATACGCCTTATATGTCGGTAGGGGTATTGGCAGTGTTTTTTAATTATTTTTACTATTTTTTTTTTTTAAATCCAGTTTAAGAGGGGTGGTTTAAGATTGTTCCTCTATCTCTGAATCGGTCCGATACGTAATGATTTTTTAAACCTTGTATCTCACAATCCCTCTTTTATTTAGAGGGCAATGTTTTTAAAAACCAAACCAGAACTGAAATTGTTTAAACCATCGGTTTTTTGATCAGCGGTTCAATTGTTCAGTATGAATGAATGATCCATTACAATTTAAAAAAAAAAATAATTAAAAAAAAGGCCAAAATCATTATCTAGGTAGTCTGACTGTCTGGGTAAATGGGTTACTGAAAATGAAATGGAACTGATTGCTGGAATGATTTTCGGGTTAAACGATTCAGCCATCCAGATGAATGACAGTTCGGAAACCATGATCTATGGGTACGCAAAATTAAAAAATGAAAATAGAAATCAAACCATCTAATAAATCAAAATCCTCTTTGGTGGAAAGGAAGATAGCTGTGTAACAGCAGGGAGGGTGCGGTGTAATGTATCAAATGAGCAAGGTTATTCTGTCAGCCTGATTATTCGTCTTATGATCCAAAAGTTGTACAACTCAGACCGAACAGAGTACAATATTCCATGAAAAGCAATTCCTCTCTTCATGTGCTGATCAATTTTTTTCTTTTTTTCTTTTCCTGCCCTAGTCTTATACTTTTCTGTTTGTATTTTTCTAAGGGCCACGAATCCATCAATCTGGTGAATGAACGAGCCAATAGATTTTCTCCTCCCAGGGCATAACTGCATAAGGAGGCAATCTTGATTTCCTCTCCCATATATCATATAATCCGTAGCAATGAATTTGGAATATCTCTCCATGAATGAAAATATACAAGTAAATCGGGGGATGTATATCTGTGAAGTGGGTGTGAGGAGGAAATCTGGACTCCAAAAAGGAAAGTAAATATGAATCTGCTGCAGAGTGCTTCTTAATCTTCACACCAACTTTACAGCACATTGTCAGTCCACTGAAAATATCTCCCATACTTATATGTTGTCATGATATATGGTGTTAGGAGCGCTGTGTAAGGAACAGATCTGGAATCATTTGAATGGAAAAAGGGAAGACCGGAAAGGATAAATAGGTAAATTTACCATGGTAATGAGTCCATAATTTGGTATGCATATCGTTGTCTCCTCCCATATCCAGCTCACGATCCTTGCTGGTATTTGACAAGCCACTTCAAAACATACTCACATGAGATATTACTAACATCTCTCTCTCTCTCTTCAAATCCTATCCCCTCTCAGTCTTTGGCAACTACAAAAGCCCATCTTCATTTCAAGCTTCATTATCTTCTCTCCACCTCTGCCTTCCGGCCGATCCCCGCCATTCACTTCGCCGTCTCACAGAGGTACATTACAGTCTTGATTGCTTGTTTTTTGTTATACATGTATTCAATTCAATCTTTTTTCTACTAAAATTTTCGATCCATACGCTTTTAACATTTCTCATCATGAATTTAGATCAGAATATAGTGCCAATTAATTAATGTTGATGTAGTTTCATCCTTGTTCTTTGAGAATTGTTGTATACTCTTAGATCTTTCAAATTGCTTTCATTTATTTCCATTCTGTAAGCAAATAAAAGATCAACCCCATTTCCTGTATTCTCAATTTCTCCTCATTGAAGCTCTGTTTTATCAATCCAAATTCACAATAATTTTTCTGTGCGCTTCTCCCAGTGCTAATAAGATGAGAGAAATTCTGCACATCCAAGCGGGGCAATGCGGCAACCAAATCGGTGGCAAATTCTGGGAGGTTGTGTGCGATGAACACGGCATCGACACCAAGGGAAACTACACAGGCAACTCCCATCTTCAGCTAGAAAGGGTGAACGTATACTTCAACGAAGCAAGCTGTGGCCGCTATGTCCCTAGAGCTGTGCTGATGGATCTTGAACCGGGAACCATGGATGCCTTGAGGACTGGACCTTATGGCCACATTTTCCGGCCAGACAACTTCGTCTTTGGACAAAATGGAGCCGGTAACAATTGGGCCAAGGGACACTACACTGAAGGAGCCGAGTTGATCGACGCTGTTCTAGATGTTGTTCGTAAAGAGACCGAGAACTGTGATTGCCTACAAGGTGCGTACCAGTAGTAGTAGCTCTGTTTTCCCTAGACTGTACTCATGTATTAATGGTGAGTCTGAGACTCTGAGTTCATTTCATTTTCATGTGTCAGGCTTCCAGGTTTGCCATTCCCTCGGCGGTGGGACCGGATCAGGGATGGGAACGCTGCTTATATCGAAGATCAGGGAAGAATATCCCGACCGGATGATGCTGACCTTCTCGGTCTTCCCTTCGCCCAAGGTCTCCGACACTGTGGTGGAGCCATACAACGCTACCTTGTCTGTACACCAATTGGTGGAGAACGCTGATGAGTGCATGGTTCTTGACAATGAAGCTCTCTATGACATCTGCTTCCGGACTCTGAAGCTCACAAATCCCAGCTGTAAGTTGGTCCTTTTGGCTTTTCCCTTTCCTATTCTTTTAATTAGAGTTCTCAGATCTCGGTTATATTCAGTCAGAAACAAGATCTCTTGAGCTGGAAAAAAGAAAAATCAGAAGATATGATCCCCATTCCCCAAGCTGAGTCACAGCTCAACCGACTAAACTATGACATTTAATTTGTATCTAAATTCTACTAATATGAGTGAATCCTATGCTTCAGTCGGCGATCTGAACCACCTAATCTCGACTACCATGAGTGGAGTGACATGCTGCCTCCGCTTCCCTGGTCAACTCAACTCGGATCTCAGGAAATTAGCAGTTAATCTCATCCCTTTCCCACGTCTCCACTTCTTCATGGTTGGATTCGCACCTCTGACGTCCCGGGGATCCCAGCAATACCGTGCCCTCACCATTCCCGAGCTCACTCAACAAATGTGGGATGCGAAGAACATGATGTGCGCTGCCGACCCTCGCCACGGCCGGTATCTCACTGCGTCAGCAATGTTCAGAGGTAAGATGAGCACAAAAGAGGTTGATGAACAGATGATCAACGTCCAAAACAAGAACTCGTCCTACTTCGTCGAGTGGATCCCGAACAATGTGAAATCAAGCGTTTGTGACATCCCCCCAACTGGGTTGTCCATGTCGTCAACCTTCATGGGGAATTCAACATCGATCCAGGAGATGTTCCGACGTGTTTCTGAGCAGTTTACGGTCATGTTCCGTAGGAAGGCTTTCTTGCATTGGTACACCGGCGAGGGAATGGACGAGATGGAGTTCACGGAGGCGGAGAGTAACATGAACGATTTAGTGTCAGAGTACCAGCAATACCAAGAGGCGGTTGTGGACGAGGAAGAAGAGTATGACGAAGAGGAGGTGGAGAATTAGATGGTGAATTTCCGGTACCGGAAAAAAGAAACGTATTAATTAATGATTTGATTTGTGTTTGTTAAATTGTTATGGTGGGAAAAATAAGGCACTTGAGCTGATGATTCTCTTCTTGGGCTACTACTCTCTGTTATTGTTAGTTGAGATTGTGTATGAGTCTTTTAGACTCTATACTTGAGAATTATATCTGTAAATAAGTTGGATAAAAAAAAAAGGAAAAAAAATGTTGTTATTTGGGATTTCCCTTTATGCACTTTATATTATTTTGTCTACAATCAATGACACAATTTTGAATTTTGTTTGAAGGAAGGTTAGGGCTGCAAATGCACTGGGTTTAATCTGATTTGATTTGAGTCAGATTCAGATATCCATTTAAAAATTGGATAAATTATAAAGACCCCATGTAATTTATCCTGAGCTTTCATTTGAGACAGACCCCCTCTACTCTAGTATAGGGTGACAGAAAATTACCCCTGAACTTTTATTTGAGACGATTACCCCTGAATTTTCATTTGTGACAAGGACCCCCTCTACTATAGGGTCATTGGCAATTGTCCCTCTGAACTTTCATTTGCAATAAAGACCCCTTAGCATTCACTTTGCAACAAAAACTCTCCATTAGAGTTTGGTCAGGTAACTTCAAAAAAATTGTCATTCAGAAATTTAAAATTTTTAAATCTCCAAATTCCAAACTACCATTTTCTTACTTCTATTAGTTTTCTAAATATAATATTGAAGTCCTGTTGATTGATCTAATAGATCCTTGCAGATTTCTGATTGAATTCAATATTTAAATTATTGGCGTGAGCTGTCAAACTAGGAGAATATCCCTTAATTCCAGGGACAATTCTTATCTGTAGATAGTGATCCCTTAAGCCAAGGGATAATTCTTATCATAGTAGTTTGTGTATAACTAGGAAAGGTGGAACAAGGCCTATATATATAAACTCATTCCTTGTAAAGAAAAAACAACAAGAAAAAGGAAGAATAAGATCTTTCCTTCGACTCGAGTTATCACAAATGAAATAGCAGAGGTTTCTTTTTGATAGATATAAATTTAAGGTTTCATATGGTTTTTCTTGATTTATTGGTGAAAGGAGTGGATAATTTTTATATTTTAAGATGAAGAGAAACATTCGTGTTAGTGAAATGATACCTATTGCTTTAGCTGATTTCATTCAGTAAAATTGGAAGTATTTTTTGGATCAATTAGGGTTTAAGAGAAAAAGAGTGAGGAAAAGAAAATAAGGAAAGTTTAGGTGGATATTTTGGCAGTTTAACACATTATATCACCTAACTTAACAAATGAAAGTTCAGAATAGTAATTGTCACCAGCCCCATAGTACAGGGTGGTCTTTGTGGCAAATGAAAGTTTAGGGCAATAGTTATCATTGACCCCATACTAGAGGAGAGTCTTTGTAATTTACCCTTAAAACTTTGGATAGTATCAAATTCAATTATCTAAGATTGAACTATATTTGAATTATTAAATACAATTATCTAAGTTTAGGGCAATAGTTATCATTGACCCCATACTATTGAATTGTATTTGAATATTACCTAATCCAATTATCTAAGATTGAACCATATTTAAGTGCAGTTCCCCTCTGTGTTCACTTCATAAATGGGTAGTTGTAGAGAAGTAGAGACCATAGTCAAGTTCCATTGCTCCAAAGTAATCAATGTGATATAGCATCTTGTTTTCATTCACCACCCCGACGTCCAACCCAACAAGTCTTCTAGTTGACATAAATAGATCCCACTTAGGCTAGGGGCAAGGTATCTCCTTGTGGTTAGATATCTATTTTTAGGTTGATTTTTGAAGGTATTACTCCCACCGATTAAGATGGAAAAACAAGATCTATTTTTTTTTTTGGAAAACAAGACCAATATGGCATTGTCATATGATATTACTAAAGATAATAACGAGGGTAGTTTGAGAACTTCTGAGATGATTTGGCCAAAGGTCCCACATATGAGCACAAAAAGACATCAGAGGCCCCGAGTTGTGATCCTAGGGGTGTCCATAAAATACCGAAAAACCAAATAATTGAACCAAACCGAGAAAATTAAATCAGAAAATGCGGTTAATCGAACCAATCGGTATATATATTTATATGTTAATTATATATATTTAATATGTCACATATTATATAAATATATCTATTATATAATATATATATAATGTTAGAGTCAACTAAAGAGGGGTGTTTTAGTCTTTTCTATCTAAGTAATGTGTTAGTTATATGCCTCCTACATATGCAGGGGCATTTTTGTCTTTGTATACTTATCTGTCAATTTTAAATATATGGTCGATTGGGTTAGATGGTCTTCTCAGTTTGACACTATTCTTCTTCTCTCCCTTCTCTCTTTCTTTCTCTTTTCTTAGTTCGACTGAATAGTACTAACATGGTATCACAGTGCCACTGATAGAAGTTGATTACAACTTTCTATTGATCTCCTCTCTTCCCTTTCTTCTTTTTATTTTAGTTTTTTTTTTGTGTGAGAAATTTGGGGTAGAATTCTACGACGAAACCCAGATTTCTGCAGCAACCTTTAGGGTTTCGGTGGCTTGACTTCTGGTGACAGGGGATGAGTACAACAGTTCGAGTAGTGAATAGGAAAAAAAATTTTTTTTCATGTGGACTACCGTCACCATGCGTGACAGTTGTGGTGGTCGAGTAGGTGCAATCGTGGTGGTCTGAACCCTCTAATGAGTAGTTTCAAGAGGGATTCTCTATGGTTTTGAACCTGCCTGTTGGTAGTACAGTGGTGTTTAAAGTGGCCGAATGTATGCTAGGGCAAGTTCGTGGTGATTACAAGTGTATTAGTGTGATAGTTGAAGAACGGTAATGTAGTGGTTGGAACTGATTTTTTTATTTTTTTTGTGTGTGACAGGCAGAACCGACTTCGTAGACTGAAATGGCACCAATGGTGATGCGAGTGGTGACTAGAAATCGAATTTGATGATCTCCTCTGATTTTTTAAGTGTCAAGATGACATCCATCAAACTCAATGGTGAAAATTGTGTTCCATGGCCCAAGTCGGTGGAAGTGTTTCTAAAGGCTAAGAAGAAAGTGAAACATGTACAGGAGGAGAAACCTAGTGCTGAATCCCTAGGTTTTAGTGATTGGGAGCAAGAGGATGCTCAAATTATGACGTGGTTATGGAATAGTATGGAGCCTAGAATCAGTGTTAACTTCATGCTTTTAGATACAATAAGGGATATATCGGAACATGCCAAGAAACTCTATTCTGGACAAGACAATACTATAAGGGATTATCAGCTTTATTAGGAATACTTCAGTTTGCAGTAGGGAAATCAGACTCTTGAAGAATATTATGCCAATATGAAAAATCTTTGGAATGAACTTAATGTCTATCATCCCCTTGACTCTAGATGTCAAAATTCAGTAGCAACAAAGGGAACAACTAGATTTTACATGGTTCTTGGTGGGATTGAAAGCAGAGTATGAACCTGTCAGACCACAGATATTGGAAGGGTCTGCTTTCCCTACTCTAAAAGAAGTGTTTGCCCGTCTCCATAGGATATCTCTTACCCCCATAGAGAGTAGCATACCTTTCGACAGATCAACACTTGTTGGCACTCAAGGTGGTTCTTATGGGCATAGAGAAGGTGGTTCTTATGGGCATAGAGAAGGTGGTTGTATAGTTAAGGGAGGCCGTGGTAACCCTATGGGTGGTCGTAGCAGTGGAGGAGGTCATGATTCAGGGGGAGACCGTGGTAGAGGAAGGGGGAGCACTACTAGGAAATGCACACATTGTTGGAGAGAAGGACACATAGTTAACTTTTGTTATAATTTGCATGGCCCACCCTCCACATGGGCTAATCATGCAACTGTTGGTGGTAGTGAAGTTACTAATACTCAACCAGTTGATCCAGCATCTTCTAGGAAGGAGATGATGAGTATTCCAAGAGAGGAGTATAAGAGATTTATTCAGGCCACTTCACATCAGAATACTGTCACCTTTGCTAATTCAGGTATATATTGCCCATCATCCAAACTTTCACCCTGGATAATTGACTCTAGAGCCTTTGATCACATGACTGAGACTCAAGGTGTATTTTTCTCCCTTTCTCCAACCTCTACATCAAATAATGTTACCCTTGCCAATGGATCTACTTCCCCCATTTATGGTGTTGGTAATGTTAACACAACATCTCTTTCTTTGTCTTCTATTTTATATGTTCCCAAGTTTCCTTTTAATCTTATGTCTGTTAGTAAATTAACCAAATCGCTCAATTGTTCTATCACATTTTACCATTCCTCTTGTGTTTTTCAAGATCTAACGATGGGGAAGAAGATTGGTGGAGGGCATGAAGTTGGCAGATTGTATTATCTTGACGGTGGTGGCTCTATAGTTGCACTTCAAACCTCTTTGACTCCTCTTTAGTGGCATTATAGACTCGACCATCCATCTCTTAAAGCTCTCAAGCTTCTTGTTCCGTCTTTGAGTTGTCTATCATCTTTACAGTGTTAGTCGTGTCAATATGGGAAACACCATCGGGTTTCCTTTATTCCTAGAGTTGATAGTCGTATGACTTAGTTCATTCAGATGTTTGGGGTTCAATCAGAATTGAGTCTTATAATGGTTACAAATATTTTGTTATCTTTGTTGATGACTGTTCAAGAATAACATGGCTTTATTAAATGAAAGAAAGAAGTGAATTATTTTCCATTTTCCAAAAGTTTAATGCTGAAGTGCATACACAATTTGGTGTTTCACTTAAAATTCTTCGTTCTAACAATGGCAGAGATTATTTTCTTTCTTAGTAATACTTGGAACAACATGGTATTATTCATCATACATCTTGTGCCCACACCCCTCAGCAAAATGGGGTGGTTGAGAGGAAGAACCGACATCTACTTGAAACAGCTCAGTCTCTTCTTCATCATATGAATGTTCCTAAACATTTCTGGAGTGATGCAGTCCTTACTACTTGTTTTCTCATTAATCGCATGCCCTCGTTCATTCTTGATGGTCGTTCTCCGTTCTCTATCTTATTTCCCACTTTGTCTCTATATCTCCTGACTCCCAGGATCTTCGGGTGTGTGCGCTTTGTTCAGAATTTTGGTCCTAGGATAGACAAGTTGAATGCTTGCTCCATTAAATGTATCTTCCTTGACTATTCTAAGAACTAGAAAGGGTATAAATGCTCCATTAAATGTATCTTTGTCCTGATGTTACATTTTTTGAATCGGTGCCATACTTCTCTAGTTCTGATATCCCTCCTA